GTACACAACACCACAGTGGATACAACACCATACGATACCCTCACAGACATCATGTCCCAGATGGACAGTGGATACAACTCCATACCATACCCTCACAGACACCCTGTACCAGATGGACAGTGGATAAACCACGATACCAAACCATCACAGACGCATGTACCAGAAGGACAGTGGATACAACACCATGCCAAACCCTCACAGACACCATGTACCAAATGGACAGTGGATCCAACACCATACCAAACCCTCACAGACCCATGTACCAGAAGGACAGTGGATAAAACACCATACCCTCATAGACACCATGTAACAGATGGACAGTGGACACAACCCCATACCATACCCTCACAGAATCAATGTATGAGATGGACAGTTGATACAACACCAACCCTCACAGACACAATGTACCAGATGGACAGTGGATACCACACCCTACCCTCACAGACACAATGTACCAGATGGACAGTGGAAACAACACCATACCCTACCCTCACAGACACCATGTACCAGCTGGACAGTGGATACAACACCACCCCTCACAGACACAATGTACCAGATGGACAGTGGCCATGTACCAGATGGACAGTGGACACAACACCATACAAAACCAGCACATACACCATGTCCCAGATGGACAGTGGATACAACAACAAACCCTCACAGACATCATGTAAAAGATGGACAGTGGATACAACAACAAACCCTCACAGACATCATGTAAAAGATGGACAGTGGATACAACAACAAACCCTCACAGACATCATGTAAAAGATGGACAGTGGATACAACACCGTACCATACCCTCACAGACACCATGCACCAGATGGACAGTGGATACAGGATACAGCACCATACCATACCCTCACAGAAACCATGTACCAGATGGACAGTCGATACAACACCATACCCTCACATACACAATGTACCAGATGGACAGTGGACACAACCCCATACCATACCCTCACACACACCATGTACCAGATGGACAGGGGATACAACACCATACCAAACTCTAACAGAAGCATGTACCAGATGGACAGTGGATACAACACCAAACCCTCACAGACATCATGTACCAAATGGACAGTGGATACAACACCATACCATACCCTCACAGACATTATGTAACAGATGGACAGTGGATACAACAACAAACCCTCACAGACATCATGTACCAAATGGACAGTGGATACAACACCATACCATGGACAGTGGATACAACACCATACGAAACCCTCACAGACACACCATACCATACCCTCACAGACACCATGTACCAGATGGATAGTGGATACAACACCATACCAAACCCTGACAGACACCATGTACCAGATGGACAGTGGCAACACCATACCATACCCTCACAGACACCATGTACCAGATGGACAGTGGATAAAACACCATACCTTTACAGACACCATGTACCAGATGGACAGTGGATACAACACCATACCATACCCTCACAGACACCATGTACCAGATGGACAGTGGATACAACATCATACCAAACCCCCACATACCAGATGGACAGTGGATACAACACCATACCAAACCCTCACAGAAACCATGTACCAGATGGACAGTGGATACAACATCATACCAAACCCCCACATACCAGATGGACAGTGGATACAACACCATACCATACCCTCACACACACCATGTACCAGATGGACAGTGGATACAACACCATACGAAACCCTCACAGACACAACACCATACGAAACCCTCACAGACACAGGTACCAGATGAACAGTGGATACAACACCATATCGAACCCTCACAGACACAACACCATACGAAACCCTCACAGACACCATGTACCAGATGGACAGTGGATACAACACCAAACGAAACCATCACAGACACACCACCATACGAAACCCTCACAGACACCATGTACCAGATGGCCAGTGGATACAACACCATACCCTCACAGACACAATGTACCAGATGGACAGTGGATACAACACCATACCCTCACAGACACAACACCATACAAAACCCTCACAGACACCATGTACCAGATGGACAGTGTACACAACACCATACCAAACCCTCAAAGACACCATGTACCAGATGGACAGTGGATACCACACCATACCCTCACAGACACAATGTACCAGATGGACAGTGGATACAACACCATACAAAACCTTCAGACACATGTACCAGATGGACAGTGGATACAACACCATACCAAACCCTCACAGGCACATATACCAGATGGACAGTGGATACAACACCATACAAAACCTTCAGACACATGTACCAGATGGACTCACAGACACCATGTACCAGATGGACAGTGGACACAACACCATACCAAACCCTCAAAGACACCATGTACCAGATGGACAGTGGATACAACACCATACAAAACCTTCACAGACACATGTACCAGATGGACAGTGGATACAACACCATACCAAACCCTCACAGACACATGTACCAGAAGGACAGTGGATAAAACACCATACCATACCCTCACAGACACCATGTACCAGATGGACAGCGGATACAACACCATACCAAACCCTCACAGACACATGTACCAGAAGGACAGTGGATAAAACACCATACCATGCCCTCACAGACACCATGTACCAGATGGACAGTGTACACAACACCATACCAAACCCTCAAAGACACCATGTACCAGATGGACAGTGGATACAACACCATACCCTCACAGACACCATGTACCAGATGAGCTAATAATCTCTTGCTTAGCAATAAAAAACTCAACATTATAATCTTTAATAATTTAATTCCAAAACAGATAAATTAATAATGAAATATGATGACATCAATTCATTCAACGGTAATACATTCTGTTTAGTATCTATACATTTTATCTGCCAGTAGAAGAGTTCTTACATATAGGAATATATCTGAAAAGAAATTGTAGTATTTGCTAGTACAATTGAAGAATTTAAATTTACATACCCTGAAATCCTAATGATAAGCCATGTAAGAAAAAAAGGCTGGCCTAAACATACATATCTGGAAAATATGTTTGCTTTGAAAACGGAGTCATAAAATTGGCCTTGTGTCCCTAGTAGAAATATTATGTCCCCTCTTGATGTGAGCAGATTTGTTTAAGGTAAAACACCAGGTTATACCAATCATAAGTGTAAAATGTGTATTGATATTTCCTTGTGTCTCCATCGATATTTATCTCTATCGGGGGCCTGGTATAAGTCTGAAAAATATAAAACTTACCTGTATTTACCTGTAAACTGCTCACTGACTAAAGATTCCAAAAATAAGGCTGCCTCAAAAAAAGTGTGGCTTTGAAAACAATTTGGAGATTTGTCACTGGATAAACAGCTAAGGCTTATAATCATGATTTCAAGTTTATGTTGTAGAAGATGTACTGTTACTAGCAATGTGGAAAGAATTTGTAAATTTAAAAATTCACCAGTAAAAGAATGTTTTACATGTACTTAACACATGTAAGTATAAAACAATTCAGCAAGATTACAAGAGCTGGCCCCGAGATCATGAAATGATCTTAAGTCTAAAATTGTCTTAGTTTCGACTTAACCAATCACAAATAACTTTATGAAAAGTGACGTCATATGTGATTTGCTAAGCAAAAACTTTAGTCTAAGATTGTTTCATGATCCCGGGGCCTGGTTTGGTATTTACCAGTATAAAAATCATAGGAATAAATTTGAAGTTGATAATCCTATGGCAGCAATTGTATTGTTTACTAATTAAAGGTCATGTCACTGTTCTCATGTTCAAACTCTTGTTCAAGTGATTAAATATTCAGATTTCACATTTTTCAATACCGGTAATACAGAAGAATATAAGAGAGCCATGAAAGCTGGTTAAATTTTTTTGAATGTGAGAATAGCTATCGTGAACACTGGCCCTGTAAGCTGTAAAACATCAAATAAGTATCAAACCGGGCACGTCACACTTTAAAAGAAGAGGCCCAATGGGCCTGCATCGCTCACCTGGTATTAATCTCACACTTGTAATCTTAAAAGTGGACTAAAATACAGCTACAGGCAAAATATCAGTGTTTCATTCATAAGAACATATTAAAAGATTTAAACATATATGACACCTGTGACCTTGAATGTCGAACAAGGACATTATAATATTAGGTTGAACAGAGTTTATAGTCTTCCAACCCAGCATGCTTCTGGAAAAATATCATTACCCTGGACCTTTTGGTTATACAGAACAAATCATTTAAAGATTTAAACATATTTTGACCACTGTGACCTTGAATATGGGCGAAGGTCATTCACTTGGTAGTCCTTCATCCCAGCATGTTAATGGCTAAATATCATCACCCTTGGCCTTTTGCTTATTAAGAAGAAGTTATTCAATGGTTTTAAACATATTTGACCCCTGTGACCTTAAAATATATATGTCAAGGTCATTCATTTGAACTTGGTAGTCCTTCATCCCAGCATGTTACTGGCATTATCCTAGGCCTCTTGGTTATTCAGAAGTTGTTTAAAGGTTTAGAACATATTTGACCCTGTGACCTTGAAAAAAGATGAAGATCATTCATTTGAACAAACTATATAGCCCTTCATCCCAGCATGCTACTAGCCAAATATCATCACCCTAGGCCTATTGGCTAATCAGAAGAAGTTTTTTAAATGTTTAAAACATATTTGCCCTCTTTGATCTTGAATATAAGTCAAGGTCATTTATTTGAACAAAGTCAGTAGCCCTTTATCCCAGCATGTTACTGGTCAAATATCATCACCCTAGGCCTCTCGGTTATTCAGAAGAAGTTGTTTAAAGATTTTAACATATTTGACCCCTGTGACCTTGAAAATTGATAAAGGTCATTTATTTGAACAAACTTGGTAGCCCTTCATCCAAGCACGCTTCTGGCCAAATATCATCACCCTAGGCCTTTTGGTTACTGAGAAGAAGTTGTTTAAAGTAAAAAGTTGACGCAGGCCGGCCGCCGCACCATGCCATAAGCTCACTTGGCCCTTTGGGCCAGGTGAGCTAAAAAAAAATATCAAAAAAAAATCATGCTATGTACGGAGGAAAGAATTCTTTGATAGTTAGAACCAATATTCTATGACAGACAGGAAGAGAGAAAACATCACACATTTTGTTTTCAAACATAAAGTTCGATGAAATTTGAATCTTGAGATTTTTTTCGAATAAATTATATCTCATGGTGTTTGCCTAGTCTTATACGTTAATATCAAATACTGTAGCCGGCTCTACAGCACATGTTTATTGGACAATACAGCTGTAAAAGTGTATCTGATTTAAAACAGCTTTATAGGTTGAATAATGGTTCAATGGTGACTCAAAGGGGTGTCCTGCTGTCTGATAAATCTCTAGACTAGCACACAGCTTCCAGGAAAATTCACTTCCAATTCTCACCATGTAATGGTATAAATGAGACAATGAAATACTATCAACATACATCGTACATTATAATGATACATGTGTACTAGACTTTCACCTCTCCCTCACATATCAAGTTTTCATTTTTAACTTATAAAATCATTATGACTTGTGCATGTGTTAAACAGTGGGTAGCATTTTAATACACATTGTATTTCATGGAAGTTAAATAAATTTTTCATTAATATTTGCAGCATACATAAAAATAATAAACCCCTCAATTTGTTGTTGAGTAAGTTAGGTAACTGATTATTTATGTTTTGAGTGAAAGTAAATACATAAACCCTACACACTTGGAAGTACAGCACCATCATTATACTGTACCATTCAAACAACAAAACATCTCACATTAAATCACAATTTTATATTTAATTCTTTCATTCATGCTTTTAGATAGATTTTCATGATGTTTCTGGATAAAAATCTCTCACCAAATAATTCCCTAATTGGTGTGTCGATGACACTGATTGTACTATGCTAGCTAAGTTCAAAGCCAGATTCCGATTCCACTGCATATAACAGCTTTGTTTTCATTGTCTTTTCATCGCTAAACTCTGGGAGGCGTAACAGGTTCATACAAGTGCTAGCAGTAGGAAGTCTGTCCAGTTCATTTCCACCATAATGGACACAAAATGCTGGGTACAGGTCCTGCAATGATAAACAAAGATTTTTATTTAATTGACAGTGCTAAAATCATCTGCAAAAAATATTTGAAAAATTTCCCCACCAATATTTGTAAACAGGTCATAGTTTTAATGACAGGCTCTCCCAGACAAGCACATGATACTGTCAACATAGATTTATTATAGGTATGTCATCCTAATATCCCACTCACACATGAAATATTAGAAAAGTGTGATATCTACCATAAAACAAGAGGCCCTTGGGCCTTAACGGTCACCTGACATCCGATTCAAATTAGGACTGTCATCCAGGGGCCAATTCATACTTTTCGTGGGTCCGAGTGACCTTGCTGCATCGTCCATTATATTTCCTTGTGAACACAATAACTTCAGTAAATATGAACCAATTTTGATGAAACTTTGTATGCAGCTTTGTATCAATGAGATCCTCGATGAGTTTGAATACCGGACCAATTTGACCATAACTTACATAGTTATTCCCCTTGGTAATTCAATTATTGTTGGACCCTGTGAACATGATAACTGAAATAAATGGGTGTGACTCCAATTTTGACCCAAGGGGACTGTTTTTAACAAACTTGTTAACTGTATGTCTTCTGTTCTTGGTTAAAAGAAACAAGTAAAAGCGTAAATCAATGATTTATTAAGTAAGGCACAAAATTTAAATAGCACATTGTTAGAAGCAAAAATGCGTCATGAATGAAAAAAAAGGTGTACCACATGAATTTACATCTATTCTTGTGTAATGTCAATCAACATCACATTAATAATATAATGACAAAGGGCAATAACTCTGCAGGTTATCGTCAAATAATTACCGGACAAAGTTTCATTGAACTTCGCCAACATTTATTCAAGTTATCGTGTTTACAAGGTCCAATAATAATATTATTACAAACAGCAATAACTCTGTAAGCTACTGTCAAATAATTCCCAGGTTCGAAGTCTTTCGAGATCTTATTGATATAAGGCTACATACAGAGTTTCATCAAACTTGGTTGATATTTACTAAGTTATCGTGAACACAAGGTCCAATACAAAATATTGTAATAATATTATTACAAAGTGCAATTACTCTGTAAGTTACTGTCGAATAATTCCCATTTTCCAACTTATCCAAGACCTTATTGATATAAGGCCGCATACAGAGTTTCATCAAACTTGGTTGATAATTACTAAGTTATCATGTTCACAAGGTCCAATAATAATATTATTACAAAGGGCAATATCTCTGTAAGTTACTGTCGAATAATTCCCATTTTCAAACTTGTCCGGGATCTTATTGATATATGGCTGCATACAAAGTTTCATCAAACTCGGTTAACATTTGCTCAAGATCTCGTGTTCACAAGGTCCAATAATAATATTATTACAAAGGGCATTAACTCTGTAAGTTACTGTCGAATAATTCCCATTTTCAAACTTGTCCGGGATCTTATTGATATATGGCTGCATACAAAGAAGGTCTAATAATAATATTATAACAAAGGGCAATAACTCTGTAAGTTACCATCGCATAATTCCTATTTTCGAACTCGTTCGAGATCTTTTTGATATATGGCAGCATACAAAGTTTCACCAACTCGGTTAACATTTACTCAAGTTATCGTGTTCACAAGGTCCAATAATAATAATATTACAAAGGGCAATAACTCTGTAAGTTACTGTCGAATAATTCCCATTTTCGAACTCGTTCCAGATCTTATTGACATATGGCTGCATACAAAATTTCATCAACCTCGGTTAACATTGACTGAAGTTATTGTGTTCACAAGGAAAAGTTAACGGACGACGACGGACAAAAGACTATCACAATAGGTTACCATGAACTATGGTCAGGTAACCTAAAAAGTCCAAATAATAAAAGATCCCAGAAGGATCTTGGCACTCCCTATTGTTGGATCTTCATTAGTTCTATCTAAGTTTGATCTTTTCTTTATTGGAGTGAAAGTCTTGTCAACATGTGGTAACTTTTGATAAAATTTCACACAGATGGGTTTGACAGTATCCATTCAAAGTAAGCCAGTTGTTTGACCAAATTTACTAAAACAGTAATGTGTAATATATATATAGTGTGAGAGAGATTTCTGTGTTCTGTCAGCCATACTTTTTTTGTCACAAAGGGACTAGATATACATATAGAATAAGAGAGATTTCTGTTTTCTGTCAGCCATACTTTTATTGTCACAAAGGGACTAGATATATATATAGAATAAGAGAGATTTCTGTGTTTTGTCAGCCATACAAAGGGACTAGATATACATATAGAATAAGAGAGACTTCTTTTTTCTGTCAGCCATACATTTATTGTCACAAAGGGACTAGATATATATATATAGAATAAGAGAGATTTCTGTGTTTTGTCAGCCATACTTTTATTGTCACAAAGGGACTATATATATATAGAATAAGAGAGATTTCTGTGTTCTGTCAGCCATACAAAGGGACTAGATATAAATATAGAATAAGAGAGATTTCTGTGTTTTGTCAGCCATACTTTTATTGTCACAAAGGGACTATATATATATATATAGAATAAGAGAGATTTCTGTGTTCTGTCACCCATACTTTTATTGTCACAAAGGGACTATATATATATATAGAATAAGAGAGATTTCTGTGTTTTGTCAGCCATACAAAGGGACTAGATATACATATAGAATAAGAGAGACTTCTTTTTTCTGTCAGCCATACATTTATTGTCACAAAGGGACTAGATATATATATAGAATAAGAGAGATTTCTGTGTTTTGTCAGCCATACTTTTATTGTCACAAAGGGACTATATATATATAGAATAAGAGAGATTTCTGTGTTTTGTCAGCCATACTTTTATTGTCACAAAGGGACTATATATATATAGAATAAGAGAGATTTCTGTGTTCTGTCAGCCATACTTTTTTTGTCACAAAGGGACTAGATATACATATAGAATAAGAGAGATTTCTGTTTTCTGTCAGCCATACTTTTATTGTCACAAAGGGACTATATATATATAGAATAAGAGAGATTTCTGTGTTCTGTCAGCCATACTTTTATTGTCACAAAGGGACTAGATAGAAGCTCAAAACAAAATATGCCTATAACTAAAGAACAGAAGAGCTTACTTGTACATGTACATGGGAAATCTGTATATGAAATTTGAGAAAGATCTATCATGTACTTCTTAAGAAATAATGACAACAACCATTAACTGTCAGATCATATATGACTGTCTGGCCAGTCCCAAAATGAAACGTGCACAATTACATGGACCAAAATGAAACGTGCACAATTACATGGACCAAAATAAACATTCATATGAAATCTGGGAAAGATCTGTCAAGAGTGTGTTGAGAAATAGTGATAACAACTTGAAATGCTCAAATCCAACATGCTGCCTGGCAGTCATCTTGTTTTCCAAAAAGTCTGGAATTGAAACATTCACAACTACAGACCAATCCAAACTTACATATGGAGTTGGACAAAAATCTGTAAGGAATCTCTTAAGAAACAGCAATAACAATCTTGAACAGTGAAACCAATGATGACTGCTTGAAGGTCATCTTGTTTTTCAAATCTTACATATGATCTGTCAAGTACTTCTTGAGAAATAGTAAAGTGTCAAAATCCAAGATGGCAACATAGCAGCCATATTGTTTCTCTGATCTGTTTCAAAATGAATCATGAATAGTTTAAGGACAGATTATAACAGACCATGGACAAAAGATGACTTGAAGATAGCTGCCGGTCGGCAATCTTGGTTTTCCGATCAAATTCAAGATGGCCAAAATTAGATATGGGTAACTAGGGACCATGGGAACCTCCTGTGGAATTTGAGAAACACCTTTTTAAGAAGTTAAGTGCGAAGAAGAATTGTTTAAGGATGGATGGAATGACAGATGGATGACCAATCAAAGACAAAGGGTGATTTAAACAGCCAACCATCTGATAATGTTGGGCTCAAAATATGGAAGATATTAACAACTATCTAAGGTATTCTTCAAAATAAATGTTAACAAACTTCTGAATACAAATAGACCAACACCATGATTCAAGTATGTCCCCCACCCCAATTGTTGTGAGGGGTGTAATGAGTTAAAGTTTCTTACAAAATGAACAAGAACAACCTTGAAGGCTGGCAATTTGAGCAGCATCACTAAACATTATAGAGAAACTAACCTTGAAGCCAAGCAGAGGAGGGCGTGAACAACTCGTCACAAACTTGAGCAGCTGGCGTTTCTGACGATTGGTAAATTGTTGGACCACTTTCCAAAACATCTGGATGATTGGATGACTGTCTGTATAACCCCCTGTCAGGGCACAACAGAGAAGATCATTGCTTAATATTGTAATTCATTTAACAAACTGCTTTAAACAAAATGTGTAAAAGAATATAAATTTAGCCAAAATTATATATTAGCCAAATACCTTAGATAAAATGTATTTGTAGAACTTGATTAGGAACTTATAAAATATAAAAATTAGATAAAAATGAACGTTAGCACAAAACGTCATTATTTCTATTCTGATGTCAAAATGAATTGATTTGTCAACAGGGACCATTTTAGGCAGAAAGTGAAATGGTCATTCATATGTGGCTATTTTGCATTTTTTGTTTTGTATTTTGTTTTGAGGTTATAAAAGTTAACTAAGGTGTATCTGGAGCTCATTCTGAATTCTTCAATTTCTCAAGTTCTTATTTTATTTCATTCAAGTTTTTTTTTATAATGTTTATTAAAATATTTCATCCATTTTTGTCATATGTAATTTAGCAAATTGTTATGCATCTGCAAATGCCCTTGATAAGACAGAACAGTCAACCACATAAAATTGACAATAACAGGTTCTTGATTGCATACGATACTGATTTCAAATTGATTTCATACGACAATAAACAATTTTTACCAGAATAGTTTGTATGGTGCTGCAAATCCTCAATGTTGACTGGAGTTATGGCCCCTGAGATCAGAACCTGAAGTTCATGATGGTCAAACATGCGAAGCCAGTCGAGGTTCAGGACATCAGACATGCCCTGTCGGAAAGCTGTGCACTGTACACGTATCTGTCAAAATACGAAAAACATTAGTAGAATTTGGCATAAGTTTTACTTATATTGGGACTCAGTTGAAATTTGATGATCGGTCATCAGATGATTGATTAATAATTGTTATAAAAATAATACATTTTGAAATCCTCCATACTGTTGGTGTAAGTTGATTACACAAAATAAAAAATAAGAATTGTAAAAATATTTTCTCTTCAAACATTGAATCTGCCATATATAGTCCTAAGATGCCATGAGCTAACTTGAACGTAAAAGTATGTGTTTGACGATGCTGACCCAGCAGGTGGAAGGAGACTTTACTCTTGTAAGTATCTAGCAGGAGGTAGGCTTGTGGTAGGCTTGTAAGTATCTAGCAGGAGGTAGGCTTGATACCATCATGAATCACTCTACTGAAAACAATTTTGTAGTCAATTAATCAGTTTATTGATCTAACTAATGAATAGTTGACACAGTGGAATAATCAGTTTATTGATCTAACTAATCAATAGTTGACACAGTGGATTAATCAGTTTATTGATCTAACTAATCAATAGGTGACACGGTGGATTAAACAGTTCATTGATCTAACTAATCAATAGTTGACACAGTGGATTAATCAGTTTATTGATCTACATAATTATAACTAATCAATAGTTGACACAGTGGATTAATCAGTTTATTGATCTACATAATTATAACTAATCAATAGTTGACACAGTGGATTAATCAGTTTATTGATCTAACTAATCAATAGGTGACACAGTGGATTTATCAGTTCATTGATCTAACTAATCAATAGTTGACACAGTGGATTAATCAGTTTATTGATCTAACTAATCAATAGTTGACACGGTGGATTAAACAGTTTATTGATCTAACTAATCAATAGGTGACACAGTGGATTAATCAGTTTATTGATCTAACTAATAAATAGTTGACACAGTGGATTAATCAGAAAACTACTAAGTTTTACTTTCTACCATACAGAAGAAAAAAAAAATCCAATCATGTCATAACTTTCTGCATACATGTACTATTAATATCAAAAATCTTCATCATAAACTTAAACATTTTATCATTAATATCTATATTCTTATTCATAAACTCTGTTAATTCTATCTACCAATCATACTGATAATTTCTGAATGGTAAACCCTGTAAATTCTAACAACCAATCATATCGTTACATTCTGACCGGTAAACACCAACCCATTACATTTCTGATACTAAGTTGATAGTTATTCATGCCTATGACCTTGTAAATTTCTAGAATGATTAACAGTTACTTGATGCCACAAAGTTAAAGTATGTTGAATTAATTATATGTTGTAGTGTTTGGCTGCTTTCGTGTACCCTGGCTGAACATTCCAGGTTGTACAGAAATATTCTGTGATAAATGAACACTTTTGCCAAACTAATAGGCAAAGCTAAAAAAAAAAACAGTATCCAAGATTTCTGTCAAGCAAATAGCTACATGCCAAGAATTCTAGCTGCTTCTTTCAACCAAGTACTGAGTTTCATAAAATTTCCTACAATATGTTGGACTAATGAAAACTAGCAATTGATCACATTTTACTTTTTGCTAGGCATGACCGGACCCCTAGATATTCACGTGCTGACTTTTCCAGATGTCGACCTCGATCCCAATATGTGCCTGTCATTCTCTTCTACGGTTTAACTGTTTCAAATTGTTGAACGGGATACATGAAAGTGGTGTTAATAATAATCTACTGACCTGACAAGGGAGAGAAGAACTCACCTGTTTGTTGAGTTTGTGGTCAGCCATGAGGTGTATATACTCTATCCTGTTGTGGTTGTCCACTGCTATCTGTCGTCCCCCTGGTTTTAACTCTATCACCTAAATGTGAGATAATATGATACAATTAACACAACTAGGCCATACAGGGCCACACCGTATAAATGTTTTTAGCAGCATTGTTAGAAAATGGGGAGAAATGGAAAAAAAAAGATCCCAACTGGTGAAGCAGATCAATTTTGGTCTCTAAAAAGGTTCCCTAAGCAGAGGCCACAGCAGAAAACATCTGATCCTGGAGGGCCTTAAATGTTCCCGTAGCAAGGGCCACAGCAGAAAACACCTGATCCTGGAGGGCCTTAAATGTTTCCTTAGCAGAGGCCACAGCTGAAAACACCTGATCCTGGAGGGCCTTAAATGTTCCCTAAGCAGAGGCCACAGCAAAAACACCTGATCCTGGAGGGCCTTAAATGTTCCCGTAGCAGAGGCCACAGCAGAAAACACCTGATCCTGGACGACCCACATTAGTTGCCTCACACTTTCATGCAGGATACAGGAGGTCTATATTTTCTGGAGTCTGCAGTGTTCCCTTGTTTGGTCTATATGTATGCTTAATCTTAAATAATTTTAAATAACCCCTAAGGTAATTGGGAGAAGTTATTTGAACTAATTCTGTCAATTTGAGCACATTTAATCCAATCTCAGTGTCCCGAGGTGTTAGCCTCTTTATTTGTATAACAATTTTCAATAATTCATCCAAATTGACCCGTTTTATCCTGCTCTCAGCTGTAAGGACAGTTAGCCTTTTATCCTGCTCTCAGCTGTAAGGACAGTTAGCCTTTTATCCTGCTCTCAGCTGTAAGGACAGTTAGCCTTTCTATTTGCATATATTTTGATAAAAAAGGTTAAAAAAACATATGATCACTACTAATTGATTGAAATCTGTGTGGTAGTTTGGGAGAAGATGTCATTTAAAGCCAACCTGTAAATTTGACCTTTTATTTCGCCCCTTTACGTTGATTAGTGGTGGAAATCAGTTAATATTTGAGGCCTATGTGGAGCAGTTCCGAGGTCCTGCCCGAAGGTCGGATTTTTTTCTCAAATAACTCCAACTTTACTCCACCACCAAAACATGACATATCCTTAAATGAACATAGCTGTTGATAGGATGTAAAGTATAAACAAACAAATCCAGATATAATAATAATAATACTAGGTGTGTACCCATAACAGTTTGATGAAATCAAAATCTTACACCATACCTTTGTCTGACCAAAGTCATCGTTTACAGTTGTGAAGTCCAAACCTAGGTCCACAACATCATCCTCATACGTCTTCAGGGACAAAAGATTCCTAAAAGAAACAGTAAAGATTGATGAAATCTGTTACAAGATATTCATTTCCAGAATATTAAAAAAAAAAAAAAAAAAAACCCAACAGAATAGCCATAGCACATTCGATTCTCTTTCAATTTATACCATGTTTTTTCATTATTATTCACTGTGAATTTTCATGTTCAAATTCATTAAGTATACAAAATAAAGCAGCAAAAACATCTTTGGTTTTCTACATTAAAGTCACAAGTACACAGTCTGGTCAACACTACACTTTTGTAAAAAGGACATGTATTACTACCTATTTACCAGTGTATCAATAAGTCTACAGAAGCTTTACTTTCCTATATAACTCGGGGTCTAGAGAAGCTTTATTTACCTGTATAACTCGGGGTCTAGAGAAGCTTTATTTACCTGTATAACTCAGGGTCTAGAGAAGCTTTATTTACCTGTATAACTCGGGGTCTAGAGAACCTTTATTTACCTGTATAACTCGGGGTCTAGAGAACCTTTACTTACCTGTATAACTCAGGGTCTAGAGAACCTTTACTTACCTGTATAACTTGGGGTCTAGAGAACCTTTACTTACCTGTATAACTCAGGGTCTAGAGAGCCTTTATTTATCTGTATAACTCGGGGTCTAGAGAAGCTTTATTTACCTGTATAACTCGGGGTCTAGAGAAGCTTTATTTACCTGTAAAACTCAGGGTCTAGAGAACCTTTATTTATCTGTATAACTCGGGGTCTAGAGAACCTTTATTTACCTGTATAACTCGGGGTCTAGAGAAGCTTTATTTACCTGTATAACTCAGGGTCTAGAGAACCTTTACTTACCTGTATAACTCAGGGTATAGAGAAGCTTTATTTACCTGTATAACTCGGGTCTAGAGAACCTTTACTTACCTGAATAACTCAGGGTCTACAGAAGCTTTATTTACCTGTATAACTCGGGGTCTAGAGAAGCTTTACTTACCTGTATAATTCGGGGTCTAGAGAACCTTTATTTACCTGAATAACTCAGGGTATAGAGAAGCTTTATTTACCTGTATAACTCGGGTCTAGAGAACCTTTACTTACCTGTATAACTCGGGGTCTAGAGAACCTTTACTTACCTGTATAACTCAGGGTCTAGAGAACCTTTACTTACCTGAATAACTCAGGGTCTAGAGAACCTTTATTTACCTGTATAACTCGGGGTCTAGAGAAGCTTTACTTTCCTATATAACTCGGGGTCTAGAGAACCTTTATTTACCTGTATAACTCGGGGTCTAGAGAAGCTTTATTTACCTGTATAACTCGGGGTCTAGAGAAGCTTTATTTACCTGTATAACTCAGGGTCTAGAGAACCTTTACTTACCTGTATAACTCTGGGTCTAGAGAAGCTTTATTTTCCTATATAACTCGGGGTCTAGAGAAGCTTTATTTACCTGTATAACTCGGGGTCTAGAGAAGCTTTATTTACCTGTATAACTCGGGGTCTAGAGAACCTTTACTTACCTGTATAACTCGGGGTCTAGAGAAGCTTTATTTACCTGTATAACTCAGGGTCTAGAGAAGCTTTATTTATCTGTATAACTCGGAGTCTAGAGAACCTTTACTTACCTGTATAACTCAGGGTCTAGAGAAGCTTTATTTACCTGTATAACTCGGGGTCTAGAGAAGCTTTATTTACCTGTATAACTCGGGGTCTAGAGAACCTTTATTTACCTGTATAACTCAGGGTCTAGAGAAGCTTTATTTACCTGTATAACTCGGGGTCTAGAGAACCTTTACTTACCTGTATAACTCGGGGTCAAGAGAAGCCAAATGATGGATGTCAAGATTGCCGCCATGGCGACTGAGTATCTTTGAGAGGAAGAAACTTGCAAATGGAAGCTCCACCAACATGTTTTCATAAATGGCCTGCAGGATAAGTAAAATCCTGAGTAAGTAAACAAGCAGGTCGGTAGGTTTCTGTCCACAGCCAATTACTACGACTCAGTGGTACTCTACTAAACAATATTACCCACTCAATGGAACTACATGTACTAAAAGAAATATATTTACTTAATAATGCAAAAATATTATCCTTTGCCCCCAAAACAGCCACTTACTGCAGAAGTATTTCATTTAACTGGAACAGCCCTGAGAAATCATAACATTTTCAGCGCAACATAGATGACATAGTCATCTTGGTCCATCTGCTAAATCAAGAATTACCAGATTACTCCAAACAGTATTACACATTAAAGTTTTAACTCAAGTAAAACTGAACACCTCAGTTACACCACAGGAGAACGTGTCTAAACCACAGGGTTCGCACAAGAATCTAACTATGAAGTTCAAGACTTTTTAAGGCCTTTTAAGTTTTATTTTAGTAAAACTAAGGCCTAAAATCTCCCGCCATTTGCAAATTCTCAAAAAACAGAGATCTTTATCACCACAGTAAATTTACCTGTCTAAACCGATCACCACAGTAAATCAACCTGTCTAAACCAAACATCACAGTAAAAATTTAATTCACCTGTCTAAACCAATCACCATAGTAAATCCATCTGTCTAAACCAATCACCACAGTAAATCCACCTGTCTAAACCAATCACCACAGTAAATTCACCTGTCTAAACCAATCACCATAGTAAATCCACCTGTCTAAACCAATCACCACAGTAAACCCACCTGTCTAAACCAAACATCACAGTAAAAATTTAATTCACCTGTCTAAACCAATCACCACAGTAAATCCATCTGTCTAAACCAAACATCACAGTAAATACACCTGTCTAAACCAATCACCACAGTAAACCCACCTGTCTAAACCAAACATCACAGTAAAAATTTAATTCACCTGTCTAAACCAATCACCACAGTAAATCCACCTGTCTAAACCAATCACCATAGTAAATCGTCCTGTCTGAACCAATCACCACAGTAAATTCACCTGTCTAAACCAATCACCATAGTAAATCCACCTGTCTAAACCAATCACCACAATAAATTCACCTGTCTAAACCAATCACCACAGTAAATCCACCTGTCTAAACCAATCACCACAATAAATCCACCTGTCTTAACCACCTGTCTAAATCAATCACCACAGTAAATCCACCTGTCTAAACCAATCACCACAGTAAATCCACCTGTCTAAACCAAACATTACAGTAAATCCACCTGTCAAAACCAAACATCACAGTAAATACACCTGTCTAAACCAAACATCACAGTAAATACACCTGTCTAAACCAATCACCACAGAAGATTCTGTGTTAACAATATATAGCAGTGACCAAATACTGTTATTTGGAATGTACAGGATTTGGATTACACAGGTGAGATTTAAATGGAGACCATGGATTCTAGTTGAAGGTCTTGTTAATGAAATTCTTGATTATACAGGGTTCATTTTAGTAAGCCGATACAGAATGCTGTTTACCTTGCCGAGCATCCTGCCCAGGAAGAAGTAATGCTTGGTATAGTTCTCCATCAGCACTGTTGATTTTGGGTTGGGGTACAACAGCTGATCTGTTGTGTAGCAGAACAATCCTCGATTAGGATCAAAGCCAGTCTTCAGTAACTCGGATAGGAACTCACGGAAGATACCTCCTCCGTCTATTCCAGCTTCATCCAAACCCGCAGCATTGACCAGCTGTACACGCATCTTCAGCTTCAGGTTCGGCTCTAGGGACGGAAAGAAATTGACATTCTAGCATTGTTGATACAAGTTATATCATAATGTAAGAAGGACGTCTAATTCAATTTTAACTATGATTTATCTGATCTTGACCAACACAAAGTAGGATGAAGACAAGGAACTCTTCTGCCATAACCTTCAATATATCAGAAAATCAGACACACAGCACCAGGCATTTCACCTGTGTATATTTTCCTGGTACAATTTTAAAGTCCAAAGATACTTGTCAAAATAACACGGTATTTTTACCATAAATTCTAAATGAAAAACATAGTTCTTTAGATTTTTTAGGAAAAAATCAAACATTTATCCAGCACTGTTTAAGCAATTTTTGCAATTTGTTTCAGAAACAAGAGATTTTCCATTTTTACTGTGCTATATAACACAACATTTAAACAAATCACAACAGAATAACTGAATTATTAAATTCTTATGATAAATTTATATTTACAAAAACCTTTAAAAAAGTCCTTCATTATCAACATTTTTAAAGTCTTTTAAGAGAAAAGAAGACATGTTAATTATCTGCCGTACATATGTACTTAAAGTCTATTAATGGTTGACTGGCCATGGCAAGTGCTGGCATTGACTTAGTTACAATTCCTTGAAAAAAGCTTGAATATATACAGTCAACCATTAATAGACTTTAAGTTTAAAGCAAAAGTTCAACCTAAGCATGGTTATCTTTGATATCATTTGGTGTTGACACTTATCTTTGTAAGATTACCGAGCCTTACCCATGTGTAAGAAACGTTCTCATAATAAAGCACATTATGTAGATTTGACACAATTTCCTTTTAAAATAATATTTTACTGATGGTTAACAATCAATTTGTACTCTCTTAAAGTCGTTTTTACCATTTTCTGGTGAGAGTTTATCAAATGCATCCTCATAGATGTAGTTTCTGCGAATCATCACAGAAATGGATGGCCCTGACAAAAAGTGAGTCATCTCCCCTTGGTATTCCTGTCGGTCAGTCTGTATCAGTTTCTGAAGGATCTGTAAAATTAGGATCAGTTACATCATTAAAATAAAAATCAATACTACATACTAGTATTAAGGGTCTACAGGGCCCAATAAGAAGACCTTTCCCCAGAGGAAAATCATCCTGATTTTTATTTGTTTAAATCCAGCATATTTTTCAAATGCAGCAGTATTATTTTCAACATTTTTCAATGCAGAACTCTTTCAGAAAAATAATGTTTAACCATTGTGAAATCTTTCAAATAAATGGATAAGAAATATAAATATTGTAGACATGTAGGGAAAAAGTTGTAATCAACATTTTTTCCCTCTCACTTTTTGGTCCAGGTGATCACTTTACGAAATTAAAATAGTTAAATGAAATCAGTGTGATTAGTACTGTGCAGAATAAGGATATGATGATGTGGTCAGAAGTTAGTTTACTAGCTTTCACAAGCCTTAGCAAGTTAACAATATTTTTAATGCTACAATTAAGCTTCAGAGAATTTTTACCTGCCATAATTGACGTAAACAATAATGTTGGACATGGAAACTGGACATGTTTTGGGTACATTTGAAGACAAAAAATAAAATCTGCGATTGAATTCAGGAGCTCAGAAGCTAAGCTTGTTTATAAAAATGTTGGTGAAAATCCACCTGAAAGTTTCAGAGAAGACTTCTGGAGGTTTTGCACCCTGTGCCCTTGTGCCTGCCCATTGTCCACCTGAGGGACAGCCCCGTCTTGAGTAAAAGTTCTGAAACTTATCATCTAAGCATCATTTTGTGAATAATTGGTGAAATCCAACTGTAACTTTCAAAGGAGTAGTCTTTAGAAGATTTGCGCTCTGTGACCTTTATGGCCCCACCCCTCAGCCCCATCTTGGGGGTTTCTGATTGATATTTCTTCTTCAGAGAAGTCAAAAATATAATTGTTTCAGGTTTTGCAATAAGTGAGTCCCAATGAGCCTCCCCCTATAGGGGATGAGCCCCTTCTTGAGTATAAATTCTGATCCTCTTCATCTAAGCATCACTTTATGAAATATTGGTGAAAATCCACCAGTAGGATTCCGAAGAGGAGACAGTATATTGAAGGTTTTGCAGTTTGTAACCTGTTATGGCCCTGTCCCTCAGCCCCCTGGGGTGGGGAGTGAGCCCCATATTGAGTACAGATTCTGATCACTATCTCAGGGTGATGATTACCACCAAGTTTCATAACAAGAGATCCCAGAGGGATCTTGGCGCCCACCGTTGTACCATCTTAATTAATTCTTTGTCAGTTCGATCTTTTCTCTTCTTTTCTCTTTTCTGTTTGATCGAGTCATGTTTACAGTAAATACACCTTGAGGTAACTTCTGATCTAAACTTAATACTGCTGTGTTTACAACACAACCTTCAAAGTGATTTTGTCATTTCACATATTTACTGGAAATAGAACAGATCATTGTAATATGTAAATATATGTTAATTGTTCCTTCAGCCATCTTGTTTTTTATGATCACTCTCAAAATAAAACATGTAAAACTAAGGATCAAGGGGAACCTACATATCAAATTTTAGAAAGATCTCTTAAGTTCTTCCTGAGATATAGCACCAACAAACCTTTAAAGTCACCTGTCAGCCATCATGCACAATAAAGGGCCATGGGGAACCTGTATAACCAACCTGAGAAAGATCCTTTGAGTTCTTCCTGAGAAACAGCACTAACAAACCTTAACTGTCAAAATCAAAGATGGCAATTGGCTGCCATTTTGTTTATACAATCAGTCTCAAAAGAAATCATGAACAACAACGAACAAAGGGGAACCTACGTATCAAATTTGAGAAAGATTCCTCAGGTACTTCCCGAGACATATCAAAAACAAACCTTCAATGTCAAAATCCAAGATGGCCTCCTATCGACCATTTTGTTTAGAAGATCATTCTAAAAAAGAAAATGAACAACAACAGCCCAAGGGGAACCTACATGTCAAATTTGAGAAAGATCCCTCAGGTACTTTCTGTGAAATAGAGATAACAAGCCTTTAATGTCAAAATCAAAGATGGCCGCCTGTCAGCCATTTTGTTTACCCATCAGTCTCAACAGTAAACATGCACAATTACGGACCAAGGGAAATCTTCATATCAAATATGAGAAACATCCCTCAAGCACTTCCTGAGTAATAGCGATAACAAACCTTCACTGTCAAAATCCAAGATGGCTGCCTGTCAGCCTTTTTGTTTATCTGATCAGTTTTCAAATTTAAGAAAGGTCCCTTCAGTACTTTCTGAGAAATAGCGATAACAAGTATTGTTTAAGGACAGACGACGGACCATGGTTAAAGGGGCGATTTGAATAGTCCACTTTCAGATGACAGTGGGCTAAAAAACTGACCGATGGTTTCCGAGAAGAAAAAAAAGTGATTGTTTATGCATGACAGACGATCATGAAAGGCAATTGCAATAGGTCACTTGACTGACTCAGCTGACCTAAAGAAATATGAAAATATTACAGATTCAAACTGTTTGAAGTATTATTAAGATAATCTCTGCTACCATCAGATCCTGACCTCTTCCTGTCATATTGTACAACACCTGGATATTTTATGATACTTGCCTTGAATCGTTCCTCAAAAGTCACCACAAACGGAAGCTCTGTAAGGATGACTAGGTTTTTTACATCTGTATTAGATAAAGGTGGCCCATCCTCATCTGAAAATACACAATGTGGTCATGGATGTTCAACATACATATTTCAAAAAAGTTTAATTATGTAGATCATTAAAAGACACATATATTCACAATTACTTTACTCTGTGCTGCTTTAATCAACATATTTGTGAGGAGTGTCCAAATAAAAACATTTTAGGTATTGAAATTTGCAATATTCAAAATGTACATTTATTAGTGGTATTAATATTATTTTAGCTCTTTTGTACTATAAATACTGAGCTAAATTAATATACATAAATTGAAGTTTCTGTATATCAATTTTCTATTGGATACATTGTGGGTGTGCCAATTTATCAATGAAACAATCTGTTAAACTTTGATAAAATTTGTGTAGGCTAAAATAAGTCTGTTTACAACAAATGGATAAAAAAAAATACATTTTCGTGAAAAACTACCATATAACAATATTACATACCAGGTGTTTCTGAATTGTCTCTTGTCTCTTGGAAATTGTATGAAATCTGTTCTATCATTTTTCCAAGATGATGCAAAAATTAAGATTTTTCAACAAGTGAATATTGGCTAATGGTGACACTGATGTTAAATGTTTAATGACTATAACACTTACCAAGGGCTGTTTTTGTGAGAGACTTCATTGTTCCGAATGGCCGCCTGGTGAACACAGAACCCTGAGCTCTGTAGATCTGTGATGGCTGAAATGTAGTATCAATGTCAATTAACAAAAGCAGTAAATCAGTTTTTTCCAAAACCGAAGTGGTTCATTGTTTGTCTTGTTTCTACATTATTATTATTAGTGTGTAAACCAAACACCTAGCTATAATTTGACGTCACCTGATTGTAAAAAGTGATGCAATTCAATTGTTTTTATTGTGAAGTAATGTGAGTCTACAAAGTGACTAATATGGGCTACTGAATGATCATACAAAGTGGCTAATGTGGGCTACTGAAGATCATACAAAGTGACTAATGTAGGCTACTGAATGATCATACATGATCATACAAAGGGACTAATGGAGGCTACTGAATGATTATACAAAGTGACTATAATGTAGTCTTACGGAATGATCATACAAAGGGACTAATATAGGCTTACTGAATGATTGATCATACAAAGGGACTAATGTAGGCTACTGAATGATCATACAAAGTGACTAATGTGGGCTACTGTAATCATACAAAGTGACTAATGTAGGCTACTGAATGATCATACAAAGTGACTATAATGTAGTCTTACTGAATGATCATACAAAGTGACTGATGTAGGCTACTGAATGATCATACAAAGTGACTAATGTAGGCTACTGAATGATCATACAAAGTGACTAATGTAGGCTACTGAATGATCATACAAAGTGACTAATGTAGGCTACTGAATGATCATACAAAGTGACTAATGTAGGCTACTGAATGATCATACAAAGTGACTAATGTAGGCTACTGAATGATCATACAAAGTGACTAATGTAGGCTACTGAATGATCATACAAAGTGACTAATGTAGGCTACTGAATGATCATACAAAGTGACTAATGTAGGCTACTGAATGATCATACAAAGTGACTAATGTAGGCTACTGAATGATCATACAAAGTGACTAATGTAGGCTACTGAATGATCATACAAAGTGACTAATGTAGGCTACTGAATGATCATACAAAGTGACTAATGTAGGCTACTGAATGATCATACAAAGTGACTAATGTAGGCTACTGAATGATCATACAAAGTGACTAATGTAGGCTACTGAATGATCATACAAAGTGACTAATGTAGGCTACTGAATGATCATACAAAGTGACTAATGTAGGCTACTGAATGATCATACAAAGTGACTAATATAGGCTTACTGAATGATCATACAAAGTGACCAATGTAGGCTTACTGACTGATCATACAAAGTGATTAATGTGGGCTACTGAATGATCATATAAAGTGACTCATGTAGGCTACTGAATAATCATACAAAGTGACTATTGTAGGCTACTGAATAATCATACAAAGTGACCAATGTAGGCTTACTGAAAGATCATACGAAGTGACGTAGTAATGTAGGCTTACTGAATGATAATACGAAGTGACTTAGTAATGTAGGCTTACTGAATGATCATACAAAGTGACTAATGTAGGCTACTGAATGATCATACGAAGTGACTTAGTAATGTAGGCTTACTGAATGATCATACAAAGTGACTAATGTAGGCTACTGAATGATCATATAAAGTGACTAATGTAGGCTACTGAATGATCATACAAAGTGACTAATGTGGGCTACTGAATGATCATACAAAGTGACTAATATAGGCTTACTGAATGATCATACAAAGTGACTAAGGTAGGCTACTGAATGATCATACAAAGTGACTAATGTGGGCTACTGAATGATCATACAAAGTGCCTAATGTAGGCTACTGAATGATCATACAAAGTGACTGATATAGGCTACTGAATGATCATACAAAATGACCAATGTAGGCTTACTGAATGATCATACAAAGTGACTAATGTAGGCTTACTGAATGATCATACAAAGTGACTAATGTGGGCTACTGAATAATCATACAAAGTGACTAATGTGGGTTACTGAATGATCATACAAAGTGACTAATGTAGGCTTACTGAATGATCATACAAAGTGACCAATGAAGGCTTACTGAAGATCATACAAAGTGACTAATATAGGCTACTGAATGATCATACAAAGTGACCAATGTAGGCTTACTGAATGATCATACAAAGTGACTAATGTAGGCTTACTGAATGATCATACAATGTTACTATAATGTAGTCTTACTGAATGATCATACAAAGTGACTTATGTAGGCTTACTGAATGATCATACAAAGTGACTAATGTAGGCTTAATGAATGATCATACAAAGTGACTTATGTAGGCTTACTGAATGATCATACAAAGAGACTAATGTAGGCTTACTGAATGATCATACAAAGTGACTTATGTAGGCTACTTAATGATCATACAAAGTTACTTATGTAGGCTTACTGAATGATCATACAAAGTGACTAGTATGGGCTACTGAAAAAATCATACGAAGTGACTTAGTAATGTGGGCTACTGAATGGTCATACAAAGTGACAAATGTAGGCTTACTGAATGATCATACAAAGTGACTAATGTAGGCTACTGAATGATCATACAAAGTGAATAATGTAGGCTTACTGAATGATCATAAAAAGTGACTATAATGTAGGCTTAATGAATGATCATACAAAGTGATTAGTATGGGCTACTGAAAAAATCATAGGAAGTGACTTAGTAATGTGGGCTACTGAATGGTCATACAAAGGGACAAATGTAGGCTTACTGAATGATCAGCTACTGAATGATCATACAAAGTGAATAATGTAGGCTTACTGAATGATCATACAAAGTGACGTAGGCTACTGAATGATCATACAAAGTGACTAATGTAGGCTACTGAATGATCATACAAAGTGACTAATTTAGGCTTACTGAATGATCATACAAAGTGACTAAAGTAGGCTACCAAATTATCAAATTAATCAAATCAGTTCAAATATGAACAATTAACCAACTGAAAGGCACAGACTTCCCAATCTAGCCTTACATTGTCTATCCTTTCAGCAGATACTGGAGTCCATTCACATTGCTGGGTAAACATGTAGGACAACTTTCACTCATAGACTAGACAAACACTCTCATAAGGTCGATCAATCTAAACATTTCTGTGACATGTGTGTATCATTTGACTTATGTTGCATATATTACAGTCAGATATTTTATGAATGTCTGCGAAATTGCAGTAAACGTCAACAAGTTTCGTGATAGGTTTTGGAGAGTGTTGCATACCTTATCAGCCTGGATAGACACTCTGTCCGACAACCAGAAGTTATAGGGACAGAACATTCTCCGTGTGTCTCTGGAGTAAAGTTGTCTCACTAGTGAGGATGTCACCTGTGGGTAAACAAAAAGAGGCATCCATGATTGTTGGAAAAAGTATCGAAAAGTTAAATATACCATGAAACTGTAGAGTCTATGATCTAGAAGTTAAGCAATGTTACCACGTAGCATTGACATAAAACCAATGTAAAATAACTAAAATGTCCATTTCAGAGAGGAATTATACTGTTGAAGCAGAACTAGACTGGGGTGATTGTCGGCTACCAGGTAATTGATTGGTAGAGTGTCTGCTTGGAGTTCAGAAGGTCCTGGATACAAATCCTGGTCTGGCCTTGTATTTCTTTTTCTAATTACAAGCTGGCAAGATCGCAAACTTTTGTTTCAACTACTGGGAGAATGCTTAGCGAGGGGATGCCAGAGCTTGCATTGTAAATAGTCGTGTCTTCCTGGGACAAAGACTTAGTAAAAAGAGGGAGGGATGTAGCAGAACTTGACTGGGCCAATCATCAGTGACCAGGTATCTCAATTGCTATAGCATCCATCTAGAGTGAAGAAGGTCCTTGGTTTGAAACCCAATCATGCCATGTATTACACTGTATATCACTATGTGTATGGAATTTACCGTGTGAAGATTACAAGCGACGCATTTGTTCCTTGTTCAACATTTCAGAGTTACCTGATTTTTGTGGCTGTCTTGGGAATTGATGGGAAAATAAATATCCTTTGAAATATCAGTGATCTACAGTCATCAATAACAAACAGTTAATCGACAGAAGGTGAATAACATTTGCGAAATTCTTTTACAGCCAAAACATAGCCACAGAGTGCAACCAAAAATCCTATTCTAATCAGATATGTCTACATATTAGGGCTGTTATGTGCCAGAATAAAAAAATAAAAAAAAAAAACAAAAAAAAGATTTATGAATACAAATGTAATATGAAAATGTCCAGTAAGCAATGTTTTAAATCTGTTAAATTGAGGATCCTTAACAAGTGATAGTTGGTTATCATGCTTATTTAACTTGAGTTATTTAACATTCAAATGGTATAAAGACACACCGTTGGGGAGCAGTTCTCCGTTAATGTTCAGATATTTAGAAAGCACATGTTTCTCTGGGGAATACATTATTCCTGTTTCAGATCCAATGAGTCAGAATGAGGAAACCTATAGTAGTTGTGGGAGAAATAACATCAACAAAACAGAATTGAATACACGTTTAAAACCTCACTGACCTTGAACAGGTAAGCCCACATGTGATTGTGACGATCTTCATCTTCCTTTTGTCGCGGTTTGTCTTTCATGCCTGCCTGTATGAGTGCTTCATGGTAGTCCTCGGAGATTGATAGACGTGTGTCAGGGTGGGCCAGCTCAATCACGCCTAGACACGTGTCACGTAGAACAAGGGTCATTGGGACCAGCTCCTCCAGCCTGAATGGCATACTGCTAGCTGTAGGCACAACCGTTAATAAGGTTGAATATTTAAAATATTTTTTTGTTGAAAATTTGATTAACTGTTAACTAAAAAAAAAGGTATCACCTTTTATTGGTATGTCAGGGCCTGGATTAAGAAACCTATCGCAAACATTTATTTTTCAACAGTTTTTATATCTTTATGGTCACATGTACACAAACATATAATGATATTGGAGCAGACAGTAGTTTTTTATTGCTTTTTTTTTATCATGAAACCAAATAACAGAATTGGGTTGAGCAACATTTATTAACTTGCAATACTGCAATGATGAATTATGAAAAATTGGCTGCTTTTTCCAATTAATGTCAAAATAATGTACTGCAAAAGGATATATCATATAAATAGTACAAATGAATTAGTAATGCTTTACTAATTCATAGTTTTGCATAGAAAATATTATTCTTCAAACTTATTAGAACATGGAACTGATATCAAATCTGAATAGATTATGGAGGGTTCCAAGATAGCCAATATCAACAGCATCAATAGCTACTACAGAAAACTGTAGTAAAAAAGAGCTAGTGCTACAAAGGACTGTCAGAGAGGGCAAAATCTGCAATAATTTAATGAATTTGTTAAGAGGTGCTACGTCCACCAGTGATCAAATGATTTCACACTCCAGCCCAAAAGGCTGACTCTCTTGCATTTTGTTTAAAACAAGCTTTACGTTTGGTGTCCCCATAGAAGTCTGCATCATGTATGGTGTACAGGAAGTGGTTAAACATTGAACAGAAGATTGCTAACAATGGCACTATCCTCTGGACATCATCGTCTGACAGGTCAACACCACAAGCCAACATCTGAATAAGGGAGGCCTCCGTGCTGAAAACAGTAAATTTGTAAAATTATAACATTCCGAACATGAAATAAAGGTATGTTCCTGGTTGCAAAAGCAATTAAAAAGAAACTTTAACTTAAAAGAGTCAAAAATATACATGACACTTCAGTAACATGTGTGTTCATTATTAAATTGAGGTATATTAGATAACTTAATTATATGTTGTGATGACGATTTGTTGAAAATGCATGAAAAGAGATCAGTAGTGCTAAGTTGTTTATTTGAAAATGAAACCAAAAGACAATCCTAACATATGGATACTGGTGCGGTTATTATACAGTAAACATAATCGACAGTACAGATCATCCAGGTTAACATATGGATACTGGTGCGGTTATTATACAGTAAACGAAATCGACAGTACAGAACATCCAGGTTAACATATGGATACTCGTGCGGTTATTATACAGTAAACGTAATCGACAGTACAGAACATTCAGGTTAACATATGGATACTGGTGTGGTTATTATACAGTAAACGTAATCGACAGAACAGAACATCCAGGTTAACATATGGATACTGGAGTGGTTATTATACAGTAAACATAATCGACAGTACAGAACATCCAGGTTAACATATGGATACTGGTGTGGTTATTATACAGTAAACATAATCGACAATACAAAACATCCAGGTTAACATATGGATACTGGTGCGGTTATTATACAGTAAACATAATCGACAATACAGAACATCCAGGTTATGTTCCATTATGCTGTTTAATTATTTTTGAAAACTGTTTGGATGTAAGCTCAGAGACATGAATTTTGAAGTGCAAATAAGGTCACAATTACTAAAATAAAGGCATATGATCACAAATATTACTTTTGGTATCTGATTACCACCACTTGACTACTACAATTTCTCAAATACAAGTATGTCCATTCCCTGGACTTTGTTGTCCTGGATATCCCTCAAATTAGCTCTATTTAGTCCACAATTTAAAATATAGATGTGTGGAGAAGTGAAAAAACTACAGCTTTACCTAAAAGTGATCACATGGTTCCAGCAAAAAAACAAAAAAAAATCATTATCTGTAGTCAGCAGTTAAACTAGGGAAATAGAGGTTTCTGTTTTTACCTCCATTTACATTGATTATTAAACAGGAATTGTTGTTTTGATGTTTGAAGATTGTAATTGACATCAACAAGCATCTTATATTTAGAAACAAATTGTTTTGGAAACAATTCTTCATAATTTTTTTTATGAAAATCACTATTTTGTTGGATGAACTAGAACACGGAGAAAGGTCAGCAAGGGCACCGACATGTGCCTGACTGACCCCCCTTCCCCATCTATTTTTAATAAATGTAACCTTGAACTTGACATCAAAAACTTTTAAATGCCAATTCTGTGATGTTAGTGAGCAGTAAAATTGCCTACCCCATGACAGTCCAGTTACAGGTAGTCGTACACACAGACCACAGACCCCGGATAAAAGCCTTGCTGAATGCTAGACTGTACAGCAATCTGTAAGCCAGGAGTAAAACATGTTGAAATCCAGATCATCCATTCCATCTTTGTACACATGGATAAAAACAAACTTACCAAAGTTAAACTGAATACTGATTCTAATAAATATTAACATAAACACTGTCAATTGTGATGTTATTAAAAAATCCAGTATACAGGAAAGCCTGGTCAGCCACCTTCGCTCAGAACAACAGTGGCTGGCGATGATTGTGGTTTGATAGTGGGACAACTGTATTTACAGTGGATATATAGAGGGACAATCAGATTAGTGGTAACTGAATAGTGGGACAACTAGATCAGGGGTGACTGGATAGTAGGACAACCAGATTAGTGGTGACTGGATAGTAGGACAACCAGATTAGTGGTGACTGGATAGTGAGACAACCAGATTACTGGTGGCTGGATAGTGGGACAACTGTATTTACAGTGGAAATATAGAGGAACAATCAGATTAGTGGTGGCTTGATAGTGAGACAACCAGATTAGTGGTGGCTGGATAGTGGACAACCAGATTAGTGGTGGATGGATAGTGGACAACCAGATTAGTGGTGGCTTGATAGTTGGACAACCAGATTAGTGGTGGCTGGATAGCGAGACAACCAGATTAGTGATGGCTGGATAGTGAGACAACCAGATTGGTGGTGACTGGATAGTGAGACACCCAGATTAGTGGTGGCTTGATAGTGGACAACCAGATTAATGGTGGCTTGATAAAGGGAGAACCAGATTATTGGTGGCTGGAAACTGGACAACCAGATTAGTGGTGACTGGATAGTGGGACAACCAGATTAGTGGTGGCTGGAAAGTGGACAACCAGATTAGTGGTGACTGGATAGTGGGACAACCAGATTAGTGGTGACTGGATAGTGAGACAACCAGATTAGTGGTGACTGGATAGTGGGACAACCAGATTAGTGGTGACTGGATAGAGGGACACAGAATGACACAATTTGCAGTCATCCTCAGAAAAAGTAATTTTACCAAGAAGATGATTTTTGTGTAAATCAAGTTTACACTGTCAGATATATATATTTCTTTTCTACAATAAATAGTTAGTTACCATGCTACCTTAAAGGAACTACCAATAATGGCAAACTCTTTATTTCTAACTTCAAAAAAACTTGGTAATTTCACTTAATATCAGCATCAAAACAATACATTCTTTAATAAGAAAACATCAGACTTATGATTTTAAAGAGGTATTTATGTTGTGATCAATAGTACTCAAGTCCTTGAATAGATTTTGTGAAGAGAGACAATTATTATTATGTGTATAGATTTTACCTGACTTTGTGTATTTCCAAGTGATGGTGAGTCATTAGAGCATGACAAACGACACAGATAGCCGAGACAATGTCATGTGACATCTTGTTACCATGACATTCAATGACACGCTGCACAAAATTTGGAGAATTTAAAAAGGTCATGCAGTCTTGTTGTATTTTCTGTAAACCATCTGTTGGAAACTGGAAGAAAAATAACAAAAATAATTAGGATGTGAAACTTTGATGACTTCATCATTTAGTCAGGTTTATATTATTTGTATTTTATGTCTATTACAATCTTAATATTGTTATCATGGACAGAAACATTTAGAATACCTCTTAGCCCCAAAAGATAATCTCTTTAGTGGGATTATTTTTTTTCTCCTCCCAGGATTTTTTTGGACCCTCAATAGAAGTATCATGAACACAAGCAATCAATTAGCTACCATACCAATTGATCAACATCCATTTCATCGTCAGAATCGTCATCTTGGACCTCCCGGGTTGGTAAACTTGGTAATAACTTCTTCAGTACAGACAGAAAATCCACTGTCTGTTTCGTATTTAGTACTTCTGTAAATGACGAACAGAATTCTTTAATAAATTTAGTGAATAATGATAACATGCCAAACTGCTCCAAATCTGTCAAAACCATTCAAATATTTTGGAGTGCTTTTCACATATTTGGTGTCCTTCCTTATAATGTATGTAAGTAATCAGATCTTCAAAGTTCTTTTCTATTGTCTACAACATATATTTCATAATTGTGGCAATCCTCATCCCATAACAATCTTGTTTAGAGAAACATAAGTCACAAAGTCCCCAAACTGGTTGAACCTGGAGTCATGTTTCAATGACAGTTTTGAGATCCATCTGACATCTAGTCAAATGTTTGTGTGGAAAGTGACAACTATTTCCTTCATAAGTGCACTTTAAGATTTCTTTGAGCCACTTTTTTTGTGAAAAGTAGTAAGGAATCCCTCCTTGCTGAACTTTATTTAGGTAGAGACTCCCTGCACTCTGTTGTTTCTCCAACAAAGATGATTTCTCCTTTGTTTTGCAGTTTTCTGACTTGAGCTGTTTGTCAATTTTCTTCAGCAAAGAGTCATTTATGAAAGAAACATATTTACTATTACCGGTATTTTCTTCCCCCCCCCCCAAGAAGACCTCCCCCAAGAAGAATCAATATCAGGACCTCAGGACCTCTTGATTATAAATCAGGGAGCTTTCCACTGCTCTACTGGTCATTCTATTTGTTATGTAATGCTTCTCTGCAGCATTACCAAGAATAATTTTAAATCTCCTAAATCCCTAAAAAGGGTCACAACCTATAATTGTCTCCATCTAACAGGAAAACATCAACCCAAGGCCTATACACAATGAAAAAGTAGCAGGACTATCTTCCTTAATGATTAAAATCATTCGGTCAACTCACCTATATATTTATCAGCTAGGGTCACAAGTGCACCAAGCAGCCATGGAGTCATCTCAATAGATGTACTTGACGACCTTTTTGACCTTCCACTGACCTGTGACCCGTGTTTGCTGTTTCTTGCTGTGTCAGATATGAGAGCTTGGATGAGATCAACGAATGGGAATGGAAACCTTCCATAGGCCATGGCTGGGAGGAGGAAGTGTTCAATTTGTTCACTGTAGGCTGGGCAAAGCAGGGACTGACATATGGCCTTCAGCACACAGTGACTACAAAACAAGATACTTCGTAGAAAAATAAAACAAAATATGATCTCTTGCCCATAAATACTTACATAACTAAATTGATTTTGAGTATGAAGTAAATTATAAAGATCAATTTTGAAACAACTTCAGAAACATTCTTATAAGATGAATCCATGACTAAATGATTCTGCTGAATATACATATAAAGTCATATACTACCTTCCATGTTTCACCTCTGATCTGTATAAGAGTTATCTTCCGTAATGGTTTTTTTCACTGGTTGTTATATATAATTATTTAGAATGGCCTAAATGTTTTCAATACATTCATTCTCATGTGCAGATTTCAAATAAGTTGCTCAAAAAATAACAAGGTCCAAATTACATTAATAATGATATGTTACATTTTATATTTTAGGAGAAAAAGTACATGTTAAAGCTAGGTAGCATTCATCTACAGCACCATATCTATAACCTCTTCATATTAATTTCCTCCAATGAGGTTGACATTTACTTAGGCTGTTGAGGTTAATTACCTGAATGGTTGACCTTTGTGCTGTATGGCAAAACTGACTGGCCCCATGATGAGTCCCAGGATACTGTCAGCCAGTGGGGTAGGGGCTACGGCTGTCCTTTCCAGGTCTGATGGTACCTTGGCCTCAAGTATCACTCGCATATAGTCAAAGTAACCTATATCATGAATAGGAAATTTTACAAATTTTACACCTTGATACTGAATTCAGTGTTTCTTTCTTTACAATTTTTTTTTCCCGATTTGATCAAATTATTTGCATTTTTTTCACGTTTTGTGTAAGACTTCATTACTCTATAATGAGTACTCTTTCTTTCCAAAATGTAATAATCAAGATGTATGAAGCCATATTTTCACCCTATTGGGAATAGCCTTTTTTCCAAGCTTTTAACTGATATGGTTTGGTAAGGCAATGATTTGAATTACACAGTGAATTCTTCTACATTATTTAGCATGGTACTTTTCTAAAAAGGATTTTTTTATACTTCAAAATAATTGAAATTTATAATATGCAGTAAAAATTGTTTCATAATGCATTTCTGGCATTATTCTAATGTAAAATAAAAAGATAACTTAGGTGAGTGTGTGTGAGGTGGTGGGGTTTACCTCCCTGTGTAAAACAACCAATACATACCGTGGTTGATGAGGTACAGCCATAAGTGGTGGACTGGTCCCTCCTTATGTTCTGTAAATTTGTGTGATCTGTAGAGCTCTAGTGACGTAAACATCTCCAGCATCCTCATCGGGATTGCTATAGGGGCTGCCGTATGTATTACATCCTTCAAGTGTCTAAAGAATACAATTGCAAATATACATCATCTACAAAATACAACTATATAAAAAAATCTAGAGAATACAATACTAATATCAAATAAAAATATATACAAGAGGCCCAAGGGCCTTAGCGGTCACCTGAGTTTTATCAGAGGTACTGGTAGCTTTATTTTATTGTTTAGATGTGATGTGGAAATCAGCATGTAAACTAAGTGAAATACAATACTTGTCATGTCATCAATGGATAAGAATTTTAAAATATTTGTAAATGTTCCCTTTGGGGCCCCGCTCTAACCCCTGGAGATGGGGCAGGAATTCCAAGTTTACAATGTGATACCGTCATCCACCAAAGATGATTCTGACTAAGTAAAAATAATTTCCAACAGAAAATTGTCAAAATATACCCAAAAGTGTTGTTTCCCTATATAAACTATAGTAAACTTTACCCCCTCCCCAAGGGAGAACGGATAGCTCGGGGGTCCTGAAATTTACAATTTAAATAAAGCCCCTGATGATCTTTCCATCCATGCAGAGAAAATGACTGTAATACCTCTGAGTCTGGAGAAGAAGATTTTTGAAATATTGGTTAATTTTCCCTTTTGGGCCCCGCCCTGGCCCCTAGGGTTGGGGTAGGAATCCCAATTTTACAATTTAAAACCATCTTCCTCCTCCAAGGATGATTCTGACCAAGTAAAAATAATTTCCAACAGAAAATTGTCAAAATATACCCAAAAGTGTTGTTTCCCTATATAAACTATAGTAAACTTTACCCCCTCCCCAAGGGAGAACGGATAGCTCGGGGGTCCTGAAATTTACAATTTAAATAAAGCCCCTGATGATCTTTCCATCCATGCAGAGAAAATGACTGTAATACCTCTGAGTCTGGAGAAGAAGATTTTTGAAATATTGGTTAATTTTCCCTTTTGGGCCCCGCCCTGGCCCCTAGGGTTGGGGTAGGAATCCCAATTTTACAATTTAAAACCATCTTCCTCCTCCAAGGATGATTCTGACCAAGTAAAAATAATTTCCAACAGAAAATTGTCAAAATATACCCAAAAGTGTTGTTTCCCTATATAAACTATAGTAAACTTTACCCCCTCCCCAAGGGAGAACGGATAGCTCGGGGGTCCTGAAATTTACAATTTAAATAAAGCCCCTGATGATCTTTCCATCCATACAGAGAAAATGACTGTAATACCTCTGAGTCTGGAGAAGAAGATTTTTGAAATATTGGTTAATTTTCCCTTTTGGGCCCCGCCCTGGCCCCTAGGGTTGGGGTAGGAATCCCAATTTTACAATTTGGTAGCCTTATCTACCAAGGATGATTCTGACCAAGTTTGAAAAAAATCCATCCTCTGGTTCTTGAGAAGAAGTTGATAATGTAAAAAGTTTACGCACGACGGACGACGACGGACGGAAAGTGATTGGAATAGGTCACTTGAGCAAAGCTCAGGTGACCTAAAAACACAATACAAATATACATTAAAAAATGTCTGTAAGATATGAATACCCAATGCTCTTATGCAAATTAGAGTCATTATTTAACAAATATCTATAAATAGTAATATCACAAACTCATTTGAGGCATTCCCATATTTGACCTTTGTACATAGTTTGAAATCTGTGACATGGGTAACAACACATGCTCCACCCTATAATAACTGGGACTTGATCAACAAAATAGAGCAGTTGTTGTATATAGTAGACCTACCTTAGACACAACAGCAGCAGGCGCTGTATATGGTACAGACCACCAGGGATACGGGTACACATGTAGGTTAGGTAATCATTCTTTCTTTTAATCACATTCTGACACATCCATATCTGAAAGTGTTGATACATAAAACTTAATATAAACAAGATCTAGCTCCTTTTACATGAATTAATGAGATAAATGGCTCACTGTAACAAAGTGGTTAGACACAGATATGATTGCTTTACAAGAGTACATTTCTGACTTTGTTAGAATCACCTTTAAAATTACATTAATTTATGACTTCATCATACTACAGCAAGATCAAATTAGCGTAGGTCCTCATGCAAACTCGCCTCTAAAACAAAATTTATCATAATCGTTTAACTTTTTAAAACAATTTTTGATTCCATTTTTCACCTTAAAACCAAAGACAAGAGATATAGCACTGGCTACAGCAAATCTGACAGGATGTCATACAACTCTTGTTTTTTATACCACAGCTTCATAATTCTATACAAAGGGGATTTCAAACCTTAATCAATGTAGCCTTACCAATCTCTGTGGATCAAGTTTGTTGGAGTAAAAAAAACATAACTTCTGCTGAAGAAAGCAAAGTGTTTTCATGTCCAGTGATTCTGGCCGCTGTGCAGACTGGACTATCTGGTCAAACTGACCCCGCACAGCCACCATCTACGAAATAAAAAGGTACAGTATTAAAGCAATTTTCTTCTTAATCAATCAGGAATATATTATTACATTAGTTTAGTGTCACACATATTGTGACTGTTTAAACTGATCGAGACGTTGAAAATTTCATGTATGAAATAGTTCTGAAATCTAAATTCTATTTATCTTTATAATCTAAAAATAAATATTCATGTGCAGATATTTTCTGCATTAATAGATTGTTTACAAACATTTCCACACCACCAAAATGTCCACTTTTACAGTATGATTACAGTATGATCTGTGTCTCAGTGAACAATATAAATTAAACACAAATTTTCCATGTTCGAGTTCGAATCTTTAAAAAAAAATGCATTTGGATTGTGATACTTTCATGTAATTACCTGTTGTTTCCTGACAGCATAACTGCGAAAATAGGCTTGTATTTTTGTTGCGCTTTCATGTTGCAATCTCACCTCCTGAAATTCAAGTCATTTCAACTGGTTACTTGTACATAAAACTAAGTAACATTTATTTACTTAAAATGGTTTTTAGCTTCAAAATTTGCAATTTTCCGAGATTTATCATTCATTTTCCTGATTTGGATCCAGGTTTCTTTTCTTACTGATTCCATGATAAATCCTGGTAAATAGATTTTCTTACTTTTTATATGCATCTGTACAATCAAGAATGATAAAACTATGATATTGTAGTTGGCTAACATTTTTTATTGTTCAAATCCTTTTTAAGCAGAACATTTACAGAGTTACATTCATATTTCTAATGATTATCTTTTTTTGCATGTTACAAGTACTAACCTCTCTTCGCTGTCTTTCAACTTGAGCTCGGATTAATAGCTGATCTTTTTCTTCCTGAAAAAGCAGTGATTACCTTAGAATTATACATAAAACCAATATCATTTAAAATTATCAATGCTACATGTATTTTCAAATCAGAAAAACAATCTATATCCTAACTATTTCCTGGACTGTTACTACCTTTTTGATCAAAGGGTTTCAAACAGAGCCTAATTTTCTGATCATGCTACCGATCATATTTTTTCATAACTTGCAAATTTTCATTGCTAATTGTGTATTAAGAAGGTGCTTTCCATAAATTTTTGAAACTGTTTTGAAAGAAATTAATTTGTCAAATCAACAATCTTCCAACCTCTGCTTTATATATGTACCGTCATTTTAATTAAGATCCAATGGGGCATAGCCAACTTGAAGATCAGGCCCAGAGATATTGAAAGTTCTTAATTCTCAACTCTCGAGCTAAGTATGTGCTAGCTGAGAAGTTCTAAAAATGAAGAATCTTAGGCGTTCTAAAATATTTGAGAACATACTTAACTAAGACTTTGTTTGTACATAAGTGGCCCTGTTTGAAACCCTTTGATCAAAAAGGTAGTCACAGTCCAGGAAATAGTTAGGATATATATTTGTCACTTTCTATGGTATATATAGGCATTAGAATTTAGTTTCTTCCCCAGTTATTTTTTTTATATTTCCTATATACTTATGCACAGACAAGTATAGAATGCAGTCCTGTTAAGGGGGTTAGAACATTTTAGAATTATTTCTTATAATAGTAAAGTATAGCATAACAAATATAATGAAATGTAGCAGGGCTGAGCAATATTCAATTCAGCCTTGATGAATTGGCTCAGACCAGATCCGTACTTCATAGCTAGACCTCATCTGAAGTCTGTAATTGTTTCATTATATGTCACATTTGACTAACTTCAAATTAAACTGTCATGTACAATGTAGTATAATAGTCTGTAACACTTACTTCTATTCCTGGAGACTGTAAAAGGTTTACACACAGACACGGCTAGTCAGTGCGAGTTCATGTATGTAACTTTTGTTTCTTCATTAGGATTGACAGATATTTTTTTCTTTTTGTGGGACCGATTGAAATACATAAGATATGGTTAACATGCTGTGAGGATTTTCGTGAGTCTCACACTCCAATCATTATATATGGCATGCATGCTCTAACCCATGGAGATAATTCTTTTATACCAGGATCGAAGCAGACATTAGGTCGTAACATCCACATCTTCATATGGTGCTCTAAGTCTTGGTTTGTTCTTGCCCAAACACTTACATGTACATAAATAATGGAGGTAGTGCCTGCATTTTCTTTATAACTGACCATTATAAATCTCACGATGGAATATTTGAACTTCAATTGAATGAAGCGAATTTGCTTCTATAATGTGTTGAGTTGGGACATGACGAGTAGGTGAGAAATGAATCGACTGAAATTACTATTCTCTTTAACGAATATGTAAAACTCTCACAATCACTAACTGTCACCAGATAATTCGACGACTGTATAGAGCAGCAGATACATGTAGCTGATCATAAACAGGCGACCGATCAAAATGTTGGAACCTTCGATCATGGACAGTTTTAGAGGACTAGGAGCCTCAGGTTTATTTATATAGTAGAGATGTAAAATAAATGTTCTCCTCAAGTCTTTTCATCCCAGCCAGTGTTTGCAGTCCACAAACTGATTAAAATTAATATTATCCGCATTAAAATACAATCATCACACATTAACTTCCTGGATTAAAGCTTTCGATCAAGAATTAATAGTATTGGTGAGTTCGATGTAGATGTACTGAAACGTACGACACCGACCCGAAGGGGGAGCGGGGGGTGGAGGACGTGGCTAGGGGACATGAGTCAGGTTGAGTGACTACGGAAACTTAACAGCATGTATAAACCTCTTAAAACGTCTAAGACTAACAGTTACTTCTAGTAAATTAAATATGTCCAAAAATACCCGTTGTATTTTGAAAGTCGGGTATAATTTGAGGTGATCCGAAATCACGATCTAAACGCGTGATTCGAATGATGTACAAAAATCGGGAAAATCAACTGTTATTTCGTTTTTCATTCCAAGAAAAGGTTTAACATGAAAATTGTCTATGCATATACTTACCTTTTTGCTTGCCCCACGCAAGGATTGGATTGGTTTTCTCCTGAAATCTCCCTCAAAACTATACATTTTACTTTTCTTGTTGTTTTTCTAGAAAATGTAGAATGACTGTCAAGTTTTTTGTTTACATACAATGTTACACCAGTTTTGATTGGTTCAAGAAATGTATAATAGCCAATCACAGGTCGTGTTAGGATTATGAGCTGTACTTCCGGTTTTATAGCTGTAGAGAAGCCACGTGAGATCTGTCAACACAGCACTGAGATATGTTTTACCTCATAGGTTTGGGATTAGGGGATGCTTCTGACATTACAGTTAAGGGCTTAGATATTGTGAAGAAATGTAAGAGAGTTTATCTTGAAGCGTATACGTCGATCCTCACCGTAGGAAAAGAAGCTTTGGTAAGCAATTTTACCCAAAACCCTAAAAAATGATCAGGTCCAAAACGCTCTGCGGATTGAGCTATAAAAACCTATACTGTATAGCTATATTCACCTATAAATTACAGCTGTTTTGAGCTATAATTTCTCCGATTTCAATTTTCATTAAATTAAAGCAAAGTCGCATAAAACAATAAGGTTTACGGTAATGTTGACTACAAAAAGTACTCATTTAGATGTTTATTTTCATATTTCATACATGTAAAAATTTCGATTTTTTTACATCATTATTTTTTAAAAAGAATACTCATATTTAATGTCTTTTGTTATCAACCTAATGATAAAATCTTCTTTTAAAAGCGACTTTGTTTCGTTTTCCTTAAAAAAAAATCACATGATTTAGCTCAAAAGACCTTTCTCAGATAGGTCAATAGAGCTATTATATGTCTTTACAGCTATATAGCTTAATCGGCAGAGTGTACTGGACCTGATGATAGGATCCCAAAGTCTTATTTTAAGGCATAACAATTGTTATTCTTCAACTTGTGTAGATTTTATGACGGCAAATCTAAGCTAGAACAACACTTTTATCACTTGTTCTGATGAAGCTGAGGACACTTAAAAGTAAATATATCTGTAGGGTGTTCATTTCCTATATATTTATTACTAGTAAAATATCAAAAATTACCAATTTGATAAAAAAATATCACTGCACTGAAGATATAACAATAGTTATGAGACAATACAGAAAAAAGCATGACCAGACCAGGATTCAAACCCAGGACCATCAAAACTCTAGATCCTCACACCAAATGAACAAGGTAGACAGCTATTGATTGAGTCTGGTGCTGCTTACTAATAAGTTAGTAACATTTCTCCCTCCTCCAATGAAATCTTCAACCCTGATGACAGACAAAAGTACCCTTGATGGGTATTTTGTTCTTTGGCTTCAAATGTTACAGGAGATGAAACAATATAGTGAGGGCCATACCAGGATTATATTATTGTCTAGTGATGGTGCCAATTAACATTACATTATAAAATCCCACACATATGCTGATCAATGCAGTCATATTTTGCAGTTATGTTTTCGTCATTACCCGTTAAAATGTAATTAACACAAAATTTAATGGTTTCCCATTTCATACCTTACATATTTCACTCATATAAGCAACTATAGTTAGAAAATAGTTGATAATAACAAATTTAAAAATCATTTGACTTGTTTTGCCCATTTCATACGCAGGAAGAATACTATGGGAGAGAGGTTATTTTAGCAGACAGAGAGATGGTGGAATCCATGTCAGGTAAAAATAACAATGTCAGCAGGCTATGAAATAGAATCATACTGGTACATAAAATGTAAAAATCAAGTACATGTTTACGGATAATAGTTTGACTGATTGTATGCCATGCCGCCATTTAGTGAGTGGCAAATATCATCCACATAATTAAAATATATAAAAGTTGTTTATTGTCTGAGTTGAAATGTACTGGTTTTCATCAAGAAATGAGGATTATTCTATAGCTAGTGTTTATCCAATTTTCATTGAACACTACCGATCTAGTAAGTAACCCCACTTTAAGTTATGCATCTGTTGCTACTTTTTCTAGCTATTTTTATTTGAGTTATGCCCCTTCAACAAATTATAAGTTAAATATTGTCTGGAGAGTTTTTAGAGAGAAAAAAAGTGAAAACTTCACAGATCTAATTACCACACTGCTCGACATTTAGCATTGAAGGTAGTCGCAGCTACTAGTGACTGGTTTACCTAATCTCCTTTTACTGTGACTGAGTGAGGTACAATGCTGGTTCTAGTCTTCTGCATGGCTTTTTAGCAAGGTGGCACTCTAAAGTTGGCATCAGAGCTGCGCTATTGTAAGGAGGCAAATACATTACCATAACACCTCCCGGCACACATGTGTATAGTACACCATCTTTAAATGAACTTCGGTGATAAACATTAACCTGAAAAATTAAAGAAATCATTTGATGTTCATGTATTTTACTTTCCTCGATGCAGATGAGTTACTGAATGAATGTGACAAAGAAGACATAGCATTTCTAGTTGTTGGCGATCCTCTAGGGTTTGTATGATTATTGGATTTATTTAATTCTTTTCCACAGGATCCTTAACTCCTGAATTTAAATTACATAATTGTACACAAAAATCTTCCTGATTTTTACAAAGAAGAGCTCATATTCTCAAATAACATGTTGTTTTCAACATAATGAAATGTTAAGATCGAAAGATTGCACACTATAGCTATCAGATTCATGAGTAGTAAAATACTTCTTTTACTTAAGAATGATTGAAAATCAAAAGTAAACATATTACATAGATAAGATGAAAAAACACTAACCGTGCAATACTCCCAATTTATGGTGGGTGTTTCTACAGAAGATCTAATTATGTCATTGTATTAGTAAGTATTCTTCTTCTTCTTCTGGTTTTTCTTCTGCTTCTTCTTATGGCAACTTGTCCGGGCTATACCTTTTAAACCTTTAAAGATATCTTGATGAAACTTTAGGTATGCATGCATCACCCACAGCAGGTGTGCAGTGCACTGGAATTAGGTCATTGTGACCTTCACCTCAAGGTCAAAGGTCAAATAAGTGCAACATTTTTCAGTAAATTCTTGTCCTGCCCCTAAATTTTAAACCCTTAAAGATATCTTGATCAAACTTAAAGAATACCTGCATCACCCACAGAAAGTGTGCAGTGCACTGAAATTAGGTCTCGTGCTTCACTATATACAGAGTTATGGCCCTTTGTTTAATTTTAATACTGAAGTTTGTCTGGAGCATAAATTCCATGTTATTTCACCTACGTTGACAAAACTTACTATAGTTTTAATGTATCTTGGGAAGTAGGGGTGTCACATTCTAAATTCGATGTTTATCTATTGGCTAATAAGGGGAGACATATGTATTTGTTTACAAAAACAAAATTCTAGTTATCATTGGCTATTGCAAGTTTAAAGGAAGGTGGTTATTTATGTTTTTATAATTACAGAGCAACAACCCATACTGATTTGATTTTGAGAGCAAAAGAAAAGGGAATTGAGTTCAGAGTTGTACACAATGCATCTATCATGAATGCTGTAGGTTGCTGTGGATTACAGGTAATTGACGACACTCGTAAGAATTTTCATTTCTTTTTGCTCATTAGATATTCATATCAAGTATTTATTTAAAATTAATTGTTTAATTTCTTGAATTGACCAGGAATGTATACTATTTGGTCCATGGATATGGAAATTTATCAGACTATAATATGTACCTACAGAATTTTCAATATCTTAAGACCATGGAATATTATAAGTAACCCAATTGAAATTACAAAATATATAATACATGAAACATGTTTGCTTGATTTTGGCTAAATGGGTATTGACAAAGAGGTAAGAAACATCCCCTCTACATTCTCCATTAGTAGTTACCCGGGTTACTCAAAGTACATTCTGCATAGTATAAATATTTACCTAGCTAATTTATTTTACATCAATTATGAAACAAGTTGAATAATTTATATTAATCACCATTTTTGACCTGGATGTTAGTGTACAGGGGGGTCTTAATGTGAGAGGAAACCGAGGTCCCTGGAGAAAACCCATGTGGTCATGCAGGTGACCCCATACCTTTTCATGTTTGGGGAATCGAAATTTGCCCGTCTTGCTGAAAGGCGACTGTACTGTCCACCTGACCACCTGTACATTCTACTTAAGTTACTCAAAGGACATATTGCATCCAATTGATTAAAAAACCAGAAAGCATCATCAGAATAGGAAAATAATCCTGTGTGTACAGTGTATGTATGTATATTGCTATTGATTATAAAACAATCATAACCTGTTCTACATGTCTAACGATCAATCTTTACAGTTATACAACTATGGTGAGACTGTTTCCATAGTATTTTGGACAGACACATGGAAGCCAGAAAGTTTCTTCGATAAAATACAGAAAAACAGGGACACCGAAATGCATACATTATGTTTATTAGGTAAGACATTTAAACAGGATGTGACAAAAATAAATGAGAAATTTCAGTATGATACACATGGTCTTCAAGATTGGTATTACAGTATTTAAGATGATTTGTCAGTTCCATTTATTACCAAGTGATACAGGTCCCTTGGACCTCTTATTGAATTTAAAATTTCGTTAGACATTACCTCTGTATAACAGTTAGAATTATATGCCAGATTTAAAATATTGTTCTTTATGTTGTTTTTGAATCAAGCTTATTATTTTCACGACCATCTCTATTATTTTAGATATTAAAGTGAAAGAACAAAGCATTGAAAATCTGATGAGGTAAGTTAATTTGGTTTTATGAATTAAGCCAGTAGTATATACGTCTGATCAAACATGACTTAGCTTTGCCCGAAGATAATCAGGATTAATAAAAAAAAATATGTGATTTAGCTTATGCAATAATATACATAAAAAATGTACCTGGATAATGATTTTTGACAAAAAGAACCTTGTAATATTTCTAAATATTTTCTTTAGCTTGGTAAGTATGAATTGTGAACAGATTCATGTAGCACAACCAGTAAGTGTTTATATGTGACGTTTCTATGACTAGTACAGTATGTACTCTGTCACCATCATCAGGCAAATGACCAGTGAAGCGTATGTACACAAAGGGGTAAAATATGTACGAGTTGTCTCCACAAATCGATGTTGATTCGGCTAAGCTGTAATAGTACATAGTACAGAAGATATATCCTAGACAAAATTTTTAGATGGACGGAATATGGACAGATGGATTGAGTGGAAACCTCTAGTACCCTGAGGAAGTGGTGGGGAACCAATTAGGGTGCTCCTATTGGGTTTAAATGATGTAGGGAAAAAGTGCCTTTCTTAGTGTCTGGAAATGTTTTTTCATGCAGCAGTGCACTGTGACTTTGTCCTTTAATATTCTTACTCAAAATCAAAAGGATTCTTTATGAAGCCATCCAATAAAAGTGATGAAAGTAACTGAAAAAGAATGAATGGTCTGGAAACCAGTGTGTCCACAGACAGATATATATATATATATATAGACAGGCTGATTTCACTCTATCTCCCTCCTCCATGTTTGTTTGGAGAAAAGAATACTGCTTATACCTTAACACAGTTCTTGTATGGCTTTATTTCAGAGGTAGGAAGGTGTTTGAACCACCTCGGTACATGAGTGTGAACCAGGCAGCTGAGCAGATTCTGGAAGTTGTACGGAACAGAAAGGCTTCAGGGGACACACCCTCTAGTGATACAGGTAAATACCAACAAAGTGTAGTAAATACACTTAAAACTTGTCTTCCTTAAAACACTTGTAACTATAAAATTCATCATCAGTTAAAACAATTTACAAATTATATGAATGTTTGGAAAGGACTGGGAGGCACTTGAACTTACTGAATCATAGGATTGAAATAATCAGTGGGTGTTGATAATCTTGTTTCTCATGCAACTCAAACCACTGACATTGCCATGAAGTAGATGTTATTTGCTAATGTAGAATCATCATGCCGTATTATGGTATTACACAAGCAAAAAAAATGAATAAAATGAAAAAGGGCTCCAAAACATTTGTGTAAATTGGTAATTTTTAAATGTGAACAATTGATTTTTGGTTGGTGTGCAGCAATATCCCACACTGGACTAATGCAGTCATCTGCATTTAGTATCGCCTCTCCTGAGATATATTGGTATCATCAGGTAGCAGGTTGTTCTGGAATTCTCATTTATTTTACTGTTTGCATATCATTCTACATGTATTCATATTTTCGATTTTTACTAGTTTATCTGTTGTCCCCAGAAAACATTATTTCTTTTACCACAATCTTATTAAATTATGATTTTCATCGATCCTTTCCAGCAATTACTGAGGACACGTTGTGTGTTGGTTTGTCAAGAGTAGGAGCCGAGTCCCAGCAGATTGTGACAGCTACGCTACAGGAGATGACCTCGGTGGACCTCGGTGGACCTCTGCATTCGTTGGTTATTCCAGGTCACATGCACCCACTGGAAATTGACATGCTTTCGCTGTATGCATCTAGTACCAAAGTGAAAGACATTTTACAGTCATTACAACCAACAAAATAAATATAGATTTTTACAGGATTTTGGAATTACTTTTCATTTGAAACACAAGGGATGCCAGTATACTGTGTACAGGGTACTTTGTTGGTGACATCTCTATACAGCCACTTGTAGTCATTACCCAGATCTACATGTACCTTGAATGAGCTTTTGTTTAACTGCTATGGATCTCCGGCTAAGGCTGTTGTCACTATAAATGTCAAGTCTTTGTTGTTGACATTGCTCTAGATTTCTATCTTGAATTGCTCACCTAGATTACAGGTGGAAGGCCAAACTTTTCATTATGGAGTCTGAAAATAGACAAAGGTGAAGGGGCCTGTACTATACTTATAGCTTCTTCATATCTCTTATAAGACCAAAAAGTCTAAGGGGCCTGAAGATGCTCGCCTGTTCAAAGAGGCCTTTCTTTTACAAACATCCTAGCAATATATTTCAGTAAGCTACTGGCCAAGTATTATAACTGCAGGCTTTTGTTAGATCTTCAGATGTTGATTATTTTGACAAATTTGTCCCCTGTGGCCTTGAATATAGGTCAAAGTAATTCTTTCCTTTTATAAATTCTGTAGCATCACATTTCAGTAAACTATTGGTCAAATATCATGCCATTAGGCCATTTGATTCTTAAGAACAAAGTGAGTATGTTTAAACGAATTAGACACCGGATCTTGGACCCTGGAATTCTTTGAACTATTTTTCACCAAGCTGCTGGCATATACCATGACCAGGTGTTGTTTGTTCCTCAGGAGAAACCCATTTAAGGGTTTTAACAGATTCGACCTCATTGACCTTGAATATAGGTCAGGATGATTTTTTTTCTCAAACTTTGTAACACTCATTTCCAGCAAGCCTGTATAATAATGACTTGATGTTTCAGAACATACAGTTGAGTGATTCATAAAGAAGCTGTAAGAGAATTTAAACAGATGTGACCCTGTGACCTAGAATATGTACATGTATGTCAAGGTCACTTATTTTCTCCAATTCTTGAGCACTCAATGCCAGCAAGATACTGGTCATAAATCTTTTATTTTTTATTTTTTTATTTTTAGGTCACCTGAGACAAAGTCTCGGGTGACCTATTGCGATCGCCTTTTGTCCGTCGTCGTGCGTCCGTAAACAATTTACATTTTCGACTTCTTCTCCAAAACCCCTGAACCAATTTCAATGAAATTTTGCAGGGACCTTCCATGGACAAAGGTCAACAAAAATAGT